ATATTAATGTGGCATTCAAATCTCGACACCGATTTTTTGGTCGAAATTCATGTCCAAATCTTACCCCAAGATTCGTTTATGGACATGGGTCCAAAATTACCACCCCCATAACTCGGCCAAATCTCATCCGATATCCACGAAGTTTGGCACTTTCTTCGTGGTTTTTCCTCTAGATTAATCTGGCATTCAAATCTCAACACCGATTTTTTAGTCGAAATTCATGTCCAAATCTTACCCCAAGATTCGTATATAGACATGGGTCAAAAATTACAACCCCCATAACTCGGCCAAATCTCATCCGATTTTCACGAAGTTTGGCTTTTTCTTCATGGTTTTCCCTCTTTATCAATGTGGCATTCAAATCTCGACACCGATTTTTTGGTCGAAATTCATGTCCAAATCTTACCCCAAGATTCGTATATAGACATGGGTCCAAAATTACCACCCCCATAACTCGGCCAAATCTCATCCGATATCCACGAAGTTTGGCACTTTCTTCGTGGTTTTCCCTCTAGATTAATGTGGCGTTCAAATCTCGACACCGATTTTTTGGTCGAAATTCATGTCCAAATCTTACCCCCAGATTCGTATATAGACATGGGTCCAAAATTACCACCCCCATAACTCGGCCAAATCTCATCCGATATCCACGAAGTTTGGCACTTTCTTCGTGGTTTTTCCTCTAGATTAATCTGGCATTCAAATCTCAACACCGATTTTTTAGTCGAAATTCATGTCCAAATCTTACCCCAAGATTCGTATATAGACATGGGTCAAAAATTACCACCCCCATAACTCGGCCAAATCTCATCCGATTTTCACGAAGTTTGGCTTTTCCTTCATGGTTTTCCCTCTATATTAATGTGGCATTCAAATCTCGACACCGATTTTTTGGTCGAAATTCATGTCCAAATCTTACCCCAAGATTCGTTTATGGACATGGGTCAAAAATTACCACCCCCGTAACTCGGCCAAATCTCCTCCGATTTTCACGAAGTTTGGCTTTTCCTTCATGGTTTTCCCTCTAGATTAATGTGGCGTTCAAATCTCGACACCGATTTTTTGGTCGAAATTCATGTCCAAATCTTACCCCAAGATTCGTATATAGACATGGGTCCAAAATTACCACCCCCATAACTCGGCCAAATCTCATCCGATATCCACGAAGTTTGGCACTTTCTTCGTGGTTTTTCCTCTAGATTAATCTGGCCTTCAAATCTCAACACCGATTTTTTAGTCGAAATTCATGTCCAAATCTTACCCCAAGATTCGTATATAGACATGGGTCAAAAATTACCACCCCCATAACTCGGCCAAATCTCATCCGATTTTCACGAAGTTTGGCTTTTCCTTCATGGTTTTCCCTCTATATTAATGTGGCATTCAAATCTCGACACCGATTTTTTGGTCGAAATTCATGTCCAAATCTTACCCCAAGATTCGTTTATGGACATGGGTCAAAAATTACCACCCCCGTAACTCGGCCAAATCTCATCCGATTTTCACGAAGTTTGGCTTTCTCTTCATGGTTTTCCCTCTAGATTAATGTGGCGTTCAAATCTCGACACCGATTTTTTGGTCGAAATTCATGTCCAAATCTTACCCCAAGATTCGTATATAGACATGGGTCCAAAATTACCACCCCCATAACTCGGCCAAATCTCATCCGATATCCACGAAGTTTGGCTTTTCCTTCATGGTTTTCCCTCTATATTAATGTGGCATTCAAATCTCGACACCGATTTTTTGGTCGAAATTCATGTCCAAATCTTACCCCAAGATTCGTTTATGGACATGGGTCAAAAATTACCACCCCCGTAACTCGGCCAAATCTCATCCGATTTTCACGAAGTTTGGCTTTTTCTTCATGGTTTTCCCTCTAGATTAATGTGGCGTTCAAATCTCGACACCGATTTTTTGGTCGAAATTCATGTCCAAATCTTACCCCAAGATTCGTATATAGACATGGGTCCAAAATTACCACCCCCATAACTCGGCCAAATCTCATCCGATTTTAACGGAGTTTGGCTTTTTCTTCATGGTTTTCCCTCTAGATTTATCTGGCATTCAAATCTCAACACCGATTTTTAGTCGAAATTCATGTCCAAATCTTACCCCAAGATTCGTATATAGACATGGGTCCAAAATTACCACCCCATAACTCGGCCAAATCTCATCCGATTTTCACGAAGTTTGGCTTTTTCTTCATGGCTTTCCCTCTAGATTAGTCTGGCGTTCAAATCTCGACACCGATTTTTTGGTCGAAATTCATGTCCAAATCTTACCCCAAGATTCGTATATAGACATGGGTCCAAAATTACCACCCCCATAACTCGGCCAAATCTCATCCGATTTTCACGAAGTTTGTCTTTTTCTTCATTGTTTTCCCTCTAGATTAATGTGGCGTTCAAATCTCGACACCGATTTTTTGGTCGAAATTCATGTCCAAATCTTACCCCAAGATTCGTATATAGACATGGGTCCAAAATTACCACCCCCATAACTCGGCCAAATCTCATCCGATATCCACGAAGTTTGGCACTTTCTTCATAGTTTTCCCTCTAGATTAATCTGGCATTCAAATCTCAACACCGATTTTTTAGTCGAAATTCATGTCCAAATCTTACCCCAAGATTCGTATATAGACATGGGTCCAAAATTACCACCCCCATAACTTGGCCAAATCTCATCCGATTTTCACGAAGTTTGGCTTTTTCTTCATGGTTTTCCCTCTATATCAATGTGGCATTCAAATCTCGACACCGATTTTTTGGTCGAAATTCATGTCCAACTCTTACCCCAAGATTCATATATGGACATGGGTCAAAAATTACCAACCCCATAATTCGGCCAAATCTCATCCGATTTTCACGAAGTTTGGCTTTTCCTTCATGGTTTTCCCTCTAGATTAATCTGGCGTTCAAATCTCGACACCGATTTTTTGGTCGAAATTCATGTCCAAATCTTACCCCAAGATTCGTATATAGACATGGGTCCAAAATTACCACCCCCATAACTCGGCCAAATCTCATCCGATATCCACGAAGTTTGGCACTTTCTTCATAGTTTTCCCTCTAGATTAATCTGGCATTCAAATCTCAACACCGATTTTTTAGTCGAAATTCATGTCCAAATCTTACCCAAGATTCGTATATAGACATGGGTCCAAAATTACCACCCCCATAACTCGGCCAAATCTCATCCGATTTTCACGAAGTTTGGCTTTTTCTTCATGGTTTTCCCTCTTTATCAATGTGGCATTCAAATCTCGACACCGATTTTTTGGTCGAAATTCATGTCCAAATCTTACCCCAAGATTCGTATATAGACATGGGTCAAAAATTACCACCCCCATAATTCGGCCAAATCTCATCCGATTTTCACGAAGTTTGGCTTTTTCTTCATGGCTTTCCCTCTAGATTAACCTGGCGTTCAAATCTCGACACCGATTTTTTGGTCGAAATTCATGTCCAAATCTTACCCCAAGATGCGTATATAGACATGGGTCCAAAATTACCACCCCCATAACTCGGCCAAATCTCATCCGATTTTCACGAAGTTTGGCTTTTTCTTCATGGTTTTCCCTCTATACCAATGTGGCATTCAAATCTCGACACCGATTTTTTGGTCGAAATTCATGTCCAAATCTTACCCCAAGATTCGTATATAGACATGGGTCCAAAATTACCACCCCCATAACTCGGCCAAATCTCATCCGATTTGCACGAAGTTTGGCTTTTTCTTCATGGTTTTCCCTCTAGATTAATGTGGCGTTCAAATCTCGACACCGATTTTTTGGTCGAAATTCGTGTCCAAATCTTACCCCAAGATTCGTATATAGACATGGGTCAAAAATTACCACCCCCATAACTCGGTCAAATCTCATCCGATTTCTACGAAGTTTGGCTTTTTCTCATGGTTTTCCCTCTAGATTAATGTGGCGTTCAAATCTCGACACCGATTTTTTGGTCGAAATTCATGTCCAAATCTTACCCCAAGATTCGTATATAGACATGGGTCCAAAATTACCACCCCCATAACTCGGCCAAATCACATCCGATATCCACGAAGTTTGGCACTTTCTTCATGGTTTTCCCTCTAGATTAATCTGGCATTCAAATCTCGACACCGATTTTTTGGTCGAAATTCATGTCCAAATCTTACCCCAAGATTCGTATATAGATATGGGTCAAAAATTACCACCCCCATAACTCGGCCAAATCTCATCCGATTTTCACGAAGTTTGGCTTTTTCTTCATGGTTTTCCCTCAAGATTAATGTGGCATTGTCTGTCCGTCCGTCCGTCCGTACGTATGAACGCAAGGATCTCAGAACCTATAAGAGCTAGAGACTTGAAATGTTAGATGTAGATGCTCCTAGCTCCCGCGCAGATCGAGTTTGTTTCCGATAATCGATAACTTACTCCGTTTCCAAGCAATCGATAAAAATCGATATCGATATCCTGTTTTTTGGGCAATTTTGGTAAATAATAAGAACTAGAGTCACCAAACTTGACATATAGCTTCTAAAATAGAATATATACATATATGCATTTGATGTTGGAAGAAGAGGGTTCAGGGTATCCCCTAGTCGGGAGCTCCCGACTAGAACCTCTTACTTGTTCAAATTAGATTAAATAACCAGAGGCCCCAGCCTTAGATATATCTAATAACTATACTTAGTGAATACCCATTTTGGGTTAAGATGCAATTTAGCCCGTATTTTGTATATGAAAATATCTACGGGGTTGAAATATTTTCAGTACAACGGGCAGTTATTGATTTAAAAAGGAATTGATTCATAAAAAAATTGGGTTCATGGATGTGGAAAACTAGGTTCACGAACCGAATCTTAACGCAGGATGCTGGTTCAAGCCGTGATTCGTACCCGCGATAATTTTAGTTGTTCAGATCAGATACCATTGTATTAACAACTTTCCGGCTGTATACACACATCAAACATAGGAAAGCTATATACCCTTTTTTTGCAGGACTTACAAATTTATTAGGTAATTATACAAAGGAAAAAGCGTGTATTTATTTATGGCATTTACGCCCTATTTTTATCCGGGCACAAAAGCAAATTTTGATTTATCTATGTGTACATATCTGTATACATTTGGTGCACGTACAATTTGTTGATTACCAGAGGTCGAACTAACGCATTCTGACATGAATAGAGACTGAATCCGAGCGATACTTGCAGCTTGCATTAGCTATGTGGACCTGGATGTCAATCGACATTAAATGGTTTGTTTGGCCAGGCGCGCATCATTATCCACAAAGTCCTTGAGAAAGTTGGCAATGCTCCGATGGAGTTCGGTGTCTATGTTCGCCGTGAGCTGCCCGATTAGGGTTTTGGTAATGCTGCGTAGAGAGTTGGAGGGGATAAGTTGAGGGGGAATTAATGGCAGGGGCAGTGGAAAGCGAAAGGCAATTACTTGGAAAACAATGTCCAGGGTGTCAGGCACTTGGGACTGCCGTACAGGCTGCTGCGCTGGCACTGCATTTGAAAGTGTTGGCGTTGCTTTAGCGAGTCGCTCAGCTCATCGTCATCATCCTCATCATCCTCATGCTCCTCAGTGGGTTCTACAGCAGCTGAGGGACGTGGCGTCACATCATCGTCTTCCTCTTCGTCTGCTTCCTGATCAGCGTCCGTTGTTGCTTCATTGTTCAGGTCTATGTCCAGTTCGAAGACCTCGTTGTCGTTAATTTCATGGATGTTACTGCGGATCGTGACTTTGTTGGTCTCTTCGGCTCGCTGGCGCAACTGTAGCGGAGACTGCCGCTGGCGCTGCCGTGTAGCGTCCCTTTTAGCCTGCTCCTGTTTCTGGCGCTTTATCAGCTTAGCCTTCTTCAGCATGCGCTTGGTTACCTGATGCTCCGTCCGCCTGTGCTCGACAATACGATGGCGGGCACGCCACTCGCTCACCTGCTGCTTCTGTCGGTCGAGCTCGATCCGCTCATCCATCGCCTTCTGCTGGCGCGCTTGCTGCTCGGGTGGCATTGTCAGTGGGCCGCGCTGCAGCTCCGATTCTATGAAGTCGAGCACATGCTTCTCATCCTTGAGTTCCTCCTCAAGCGTCTTGGATAGGAAGAACTTGCCGTTCGGGGAGCGCAATATCTTGACCTCCTTGTAGCGCAGGTCGTCCGGCTGAAGCTGCTGATGCAGCCTCTGGCGCTCCTTCAGATAGCGATGACCCGCCCAAAACCGCTCCGAATACGGTGACTTTCCTGGCGTCAGAGCCAGCGGCCTGAGGAGTGCAAGGACGGAGAGGGAGGAAGGGGGAGCATTAGAATTGGCGATAATAAATCAAACCCGTCGAAGTCCAAATTTCAGCGCTTGCCATTTGGATGATTAGCACAACCCAAAAGCCGGCTAATTGCATCAGCCTGGCACGCGGCTGGCGTCACAGTTTCGCATGGGGCTGCCCGCATGCCCCGACGGGCTTTGTTGAGTTTCATATGGGCCGGCGACACGCGATTCCTTCCCTGCGAGCTGCACACACGTCCCACGCGAGCCTCAAGGCCAATGTCAAAAAATAGCTGAGCATTTCGATACCCTACACATGCGCTGGCACTCTCGGCTAGACAACGATTGCGCAGACCCATGACAATAGATATAGCTAGATATTTAATTCTATCATCGCGTCGAACGAAGCGAACCTAAACAAGATGAGAATGTTGGATAGAAATCAGCCGAAGCCAAGCGTGAAACAAACCGCTTTTTGTACAAATTTTTGTTAAAAAATGTTTCTCTGCTCCTTAAAAATAATATTCACATGTTTTGATAGATGAAATTATTTAGATATATATTAAATTAAACTACTGACGCTTAGAAATGCGAGAGCCAAGTTTCGAGCCAAAAGTTTTGTGCATAGATGTGGATAACTAGGCTTACGAATCGAGCCATAAGGCGGGGCATTGGTTCGAATCGCGAACCGACAAATTTCTTTGGGTTTACAGTCTTGATTACAATCTTATCAGCTTAAAGGCAAATCGAACACTTTGGAATAAGATTACCAATAATATATTCGACAAAACACGCTAGCAGCCCAACAATAATATTGCGTATTCATATATTATTCTTAGCTAGAACATTATTTTGAATCGATTTCAAAAGAATTTTAAGCCAAAGAGACTTGCTTTTGATTCCTGATCAAAAGATATTCCTGCTCTATATTTGTGATCGAAGTGTTAAATAATGATTATCATTTTGCATAACTACACTCTATAGCATAATATTTTTGTAAAAGAATGTTATTGATAACAGTAATCGACGGGCTTTAAAAGTTTTTGATTGGGAATTGATCCATTTCTGGCTGAAATTGTATAGCCTGTCATGAAATGCTCCTGTCGTTCGATTCAGAGATTTTTCAATTATAAATTGTCCAAGCTTATCTCGAAATCTATATCTTAAATCCTAGTCATCAATATATGATGCCTTGCCCGAGCTCAGTGAGTGAATGAATGGAACTTGACTGTCTGTTAGCGCATGCGAAACCCGCATGGGTCGGGGTCACTGGGGTTAAGGCTGTCATGCTAATGGCAATCGAATCCCAGTACAGTCCCCCCGCCACACCCCTTGCAGCAGCCCCGTGACAGTGCACGCAAATAACATGACACAATCAAACTGGGCGAAAGGAGGAGCCGCCGCCAACCGTCGAAGAGTTCATTAATAAACACCGCGAGTTGCGTCGTTCGATGAGGCAACCTTAGGAACGGCCGCCTAGGGAGCGGGCAGCGCTGACTGAGGGGGGGCGCAAATTTATTGATCAAACAAATAAAGCGCATCAGCACCAGCAGCAACAAATAAAACAAAACAGTGACAAAGCCAAAGCATAGTCATTGGCTCCGACACGTTACCCACGCCCCGCTGGAGCTGGTGCCGGAGCTGGAACCCGGACGGTTTGGGTTATCATTAATAGATTCTAAAGGGCAAAGCAAAGGCAGCAGAGGCAAATGTTACACTAATAGCGCTCCATTCAGCTATTTTTTTTGGAATTTGCGAATTTTATCTCTTTAGAAAAAAAAAAGTAAACAAACAAATGTAGAAAAAGCGAAACCAACGCGAATTTCAATTGCAAACAGTTGTCGATTAGAGGTCGTCGTATTTGATTACGAGAATTTCTCATATCTGGAGAACGCAACTGCAAAACAGTTGCCAAATACCTAGTTGGGGTAAGTTCAGGTAAAGCGGCAGGTGGGGAGCGGCGAGCGGACACTTCAGGCCAGACCGACCCCAACAACGCGCTCCAAAACTGCAAGACAGAGGCCCTTTGCTAATGTACCCAGATATACCCGGAATTGCCCTTAAATATACTTATTATGTCAGCGGGTATTATTCGTGCTTACCTTTTCAGTTAATGCAAAGTCTTTGAAGAATCTAATCGCTAACTAAAGTTTCGATCAGAAGCTGCCTGAAAATGAGCTTGAAATGAGAGTTGATCGGGTAAAAACAGAAGCCTTTATAGTGGTTGGCATGCATGCTGTACTTTTCAATCGTTGCTTAAGGCTTGTAATTCTCAACGAGTTAAAGCTTCGAAAGGTAACGAGGCCAGAGTCGCTGGCAAAGTCTGTTGATTATAGAACCGGCAAGTTGAAATAGCTAAGCGAACAATCTGTATTTTTTAAGTTTGTATATATCTCAATATATCTCAATAACCGTTGAAAGTGACCTCGAGCCAGCCGGCATAATAACATTTAATATCATATTAGCATTTATTTTCGTTATGTGATGTATTTAATGATAAGGAAGACACTCGTTTTTGTCGACCATTAATACAGTGCATACATCATTTGGCAACATCTAGAAATAGTTTAAGCAAAGATCGAGACTTTGCTGCCTATGAATATAGAAATCTATCGGAAAATTCGGTGAGGCTTTACCAATAACTGGAGAGTCAACATCTCTAATCACATTTTAATTTTTGAACAGTACGCGAAGTCGACTGCAAGGGCTGAAGGTAGAAAATGAAACGCACTACTGCAGTACCTCAACATAACTTCATATCTTGGGGGTTTTTCAAAACTTGTGATCGCAATTTATATGGTAAATTGTTATGCAAACTCTTTCTACGTTGTATCAGCAGAAATTCTCGTCAATGCGCTCCATTGACCCACTAAATCGCTTTTGTTGTGTTATGTCTATATTCTTTATCAAAATGATGAGTCGATAAATCCGTGCCTGTCTACCCGATTCCCGCTACTCGCCAACCGCTGCACCTGGCTCTACCTGTACCGCTGGCCGTCTTGGGTTCAGGTTTAAGGCCATGATTGACAAAAAGATTGGTGAAGATATTATGTACAAAGATATTATGTACCGACTGGATTCAGGCACTATCTTTGGCGTATATGTAAGTAACTGATAAATATGCAATTTATTACCCGGCTCCGACTGTTCATTAATAAACTGGAGGGCAGCCCGGGACGATAAGGGGAGGTCTACTAAGATATAAGGTCCAAGTTTAAAGATAAGTTCAGTTGTCACTGGCGATTGATCAGTCAGGTGATCAACTAGCCAACTGTGCCGAGGACTCACACACCAAAATGCGAGTGTGTGTGTTTGTGTGTGTGTGTGTGCGTGCGTGCGTGTGTTTGTTCCTATGTAGGCAGGTAGCACTTGGTAGTAAATACTTCTAATCGCAGACTGAGGGCGACAAACAAAAATGAAAACGAAAACAAAAACAAAAATCTTTGCATGCCAACAGCCAACGGCAGCAGAAACATTTGTGTTGTCTTTTATACCCTGACCAAGGGTCTTACAAGTTTCTTACAAAACGTGTAACACATGGAAGGAGACCTCTTCAAGCCTATAATGTATATATATTCTTGATAACTGTTGATACAGTCGGAACTAAAGAGTCTGATCTTTTTGTCACAAGTCTTTGCACTGCTTCGTCTCCTAGGATCGAAAGACTATATACTATAGGAAAGATCGGTCGACGCTAATTTGTTCGTTTGATAAACTTTCTTTGTGAGATATTAACTAAATCGTAGAATCCATTATTATTACCATGCTTCCTGCACGTGAACAACTTTCTATCCTTTCGTTTTACTATATCATATATCTCTATGGAGAGCAAAATTATTGCCTAAGATATCCTGAGCAAACTTGACATATACGACTTTTATTATAAAGCCTTTAATATGAGAACCATTTGAGGCACATCGGCCGACTATATCACATAACTGTATTGGAGTAATCGGTCGTTGATTAATTTTGATATGGAAAACCTTTTTGTTTCTCAAGATATCTCAACTAAACCCACTTTGCTGATATTCGCTCTACTTACATTATATGGCTGCTATAGGAGAAATGGGTCGGCTATAAAGGGTATTCAATGCTCGGCGTGCCAAAGTTAACTGTCATTGTTTTCTTTTTTTTTTTTGCAAACGCGAGCGAACTTGGAGCCGCCGCCGGGTGAGTAACTCCAAAGAGCAGCAGAGCTGGCGATGGCGTCAGCAGCGCATTGGCAGCTGACTGACTGGCGAGGTGTGGGAGAGCGAGACAGAGAGAGAGAGAGAGAGAGAGAGAGATAGAGAGAGGGTGAGGGAGAGAGCAAAGGCAGAGAGGAGGTGTGCCGAGTTGAGGTGAGAGCTGAAACTGGCAATGGCAATGGCAAAGCCCAAACACTGGAGAGCGCAGCTGACGCTCTCCGAGCACGCAGCGACGACGATGACATCATTTGGATTCACAGCCGACGTCGTCGCTGCTGCTGCTGCTGGGAGCAGCAACAATTGGCCAAGTGGCATATGCTACTTACAGCATCTGGAGGGTAAGCCGCATGGTATCTCTGGAGGGATCACCGCCATTGTGGACCTCGCTGCGCAATATCTTGACTATCTCCTGGTCGTGCTGCTCGGCACAGGACAGCAGCTCGAGCAGGGCCATACGCTTCTCGGGCGCCAGCAGCTGTGGATTCTGTGTGAGCGGCACCAGCTTCTCCGCTACGCCGGCGACAGCTGTGCCCGTTGCATCCACACGCGCTTGGCCGGCATAGCTGAGGCTCAGTTCACCAAAGCCGCCGCCGCGTGGCGTCAGGCTGAACGTGTCTTGGCCACGTGCGCTGCTCAGCGGTGTCACCGTCGGCACCGGCGGCGGATGCTCCATTTGACGGCGCACGGTCTTCGACGGCGGCGGCTTGCGTCGTCGTGGCGGCGGCGTCATTGCCGTTGTCATTGCTGTTGCTGCTGCGTCCTGCTCGATGCGCGAGAGCAGCATCTCCAGCTGCTCGTGCGCCGCCTGCATCGGCTTCGGCCGGGGCGTGTCCACTCTCGCCTTTTGGCTGCCGCGTCGCATCAGTGTCGCCACCGACGTGTGCGTCATGGTCATCGTGGTCACCATGCCGGGGCATGTCCGGCCAAAGGCCACACGCGACGTCACCGGCGGCTGAAGCTGCTGCTGCTGCTGCTGCTGCTGCATCGGACGTTGCACTTCGCGGTGCAGCTCCCTGCCCGCTGCGGTGCAGCGATTATGCTTTTTGCCTTTGCACGCGCCACTGCCACCGCCGCTGCTACCGTTATGGTTACTGTTGTTGTTGTTATTGTTGCTGCTGCTGCTGCCCTGGCGACTCGGCGGCACGACGGCAATGGTCATGTTGTTGGCTCGTGTCTTGCTCAGCTGCGGTGCTTGCTTTGCTGCCGCTTTGCTCCTGCTGCCAGCTGCCCGCTCCTGCTGAGCTGTAGCTTTGCGTCGCTGCTGCTGCTGCTGCTGTTGCTGCTGCTGCTGCGGTTGGGCCGTTATATGACTGCGGCGCCTGCGCGCGCTCATCTCCAACGGGCTCTTAAAGTCCATTTGTTATTGTTGCTGCTGCTGCTGCTGCTGGTATCGTTTGGCGTCGACGTCGACGTTGACGTTGGCGTTGGCGTTGGCGTCGCTGTCGCTGGCTTCAGTGCTCGCTGCGCTTCGGTTTCAATTTCAGTTTCTCGGTCGACGCTCGCCGGTTCGGTTCGGTTTTCGGTTCGCGGTACGCGGTTCGCCCTCGCTTGTTTCCGTTTTCTATTTGTTTCTGTTTTCGGACACGCTTTTCACATATAACAAAAAAAAATTCTCAACTAAAATTTGTACGAACAAAAATGTAATTGTAACAATTTATTAATATTCAATTTATGTTTGTTCGCCTTTGGCTGCTGTCAGCATTCAATTCGAATTAGTTGAGTGTGTGTGTGTCTGAGTGTGTGTGTGCATGTGTGTGTGTTTGCTTGACTTTGACATTTGAGTGTTGATTTGCCGCCTTATTTGTTGTTGTTGTTGTCGCTTCTGCTTGTCAGCAATTTTAACATGCAGTTCATCTCCTCCTCCATGGCCTGCCCATTTGCTTGTTGTCTGTGGTCTGTGCGGAGCAGGATAATAGTGCGAGGTGTGCCCTTAAAGTTGCAGCTATATGACTCTATAGACTAGACAAACTGGTTTAGCATCTGTCTCTATCAGTTGATTGATTTCTCTTCATTAATCAATGTGCTCATCTTATTAATATTCTTATTGGAATATACTAATAAACTTTGCAGCCTGACTTTCGTAAACAACACTAGCACGCCTTTCGGCTATGAGACATGCACTCGTCTGGGATTCGAACCCGCAGCCTGCCATCAGAGCATTCATCTCAACTATCATTTCATATTGACATCCCAACTACTTTAGGCTTATGTAATCTTCCTTAGCTGGCTTTGATATTTCTGTGTTCTTTTTATTGGAGCATCGATTTGACAGTAATCGCAGTCGCCTCGTCGAAGTATTTATGTATATGGTAAAAACCTAGCTGTTTTTTTTATTTGTTTTTTGTTAAAGTTTCCTATCTGCTGGTGCACAAAAGCAAAGCTTTTATACAAAATCCAAAGCAATTTAAACCAAAGCGAGGCAGCAACAAAAATAAAACATGGTAAGTGGATATGCAAATGTGCCTAAACAATAAATTACCAATCGATCAAAATAAATCATATGCTAGAAAAACACCAATTCACAAATTTGAAGACCCCCTTACCCGCCCTCCCCTCACCCCATCGATCATCACATGCCTACAGCTGAAAATTCGACTATATATACTCTGTTCGAGCTGGTTCGCCCAACTGGCTGCCCGGTTAACTAGACGCCGTTTGGCGTGTGGGCGGCTGCCCTGGCAAACAGGTTGCCATTGCGTATACGCCGCATCGGCCACGTCCGTACGCGTTTGGTTTGTTTTTTTGCTCGTGGTCGTCGAAGTGTCTACTCCAAAGTTGGTCTTAGCGAGCCATGTGCAAGATTCATAGCGAGTGGAATTTTCAAGTGTTACATGCTACAACAAACAAAACAAAAACATAAACAAAAACACAAGCCCAACTGCCATTTATATGTATATATATTTTTTTTTTGGCATTTCTTATACTCTTTACCCAGCGCAAAAGGCATGAGAGATTTGTGCTAATGGATGTAACAGGCACATGTACAAAAGCGAGAAACAAAAAGACGAGCCGAGTCGGATAGTCACATCTATTATACTATATACTTTAAATATATAACAAGTTTATAAATCATCATCCATATTTGCATGACGATAAATACCAATGTGGTATGTTCTGAAGATGACCAGAACTACACCAAGATCTAGATCTGTTACTCCCCTCGCCCTTCTACTCAAAATCAGTATAGACAAACACTTTGCTGTCATTTTAAAGCCCTGCCATTTAAAATCGGACTTTAAATGCCGGATTTATTTAAGAATATATTTCCTCTAGTGTAAAGCTGAGCAAAGCCTCAGAAGCTGGCCATACATAGGGTATCTTAAAGTCAGCCACTCTTGATTAGCGAGCACCCTTGCTTGCTGTTTGCTGTAGTTTTATGAGCTGCCTACCAAAGAGACGAGCACAAAGCGCGTCTCCATATGGACTGGCCAGGCCTTATAGGTATCGCCGATAATTATCATACAGAAACTAAGAGAAACACGCACACAAGCTCATAAAATCGAAAAACTATTCATCAAAATATTTTCAAAGTTACCAACGTGCCTGGTCCTCCTCCAGTCGCCGTCTCGTTTAGTGGGCGAACATGAAACTTTCAACAACAAAAATCATAATAAAAATTGTACAAATTCAGAAATATCAAACGAATTGCTTGAAAATGTTTCGCAAGGGTCGGCACTTGAAGCCGTTGACGAGCAAGCCGCTGATCTATGCGTCTATCTGGGGCTGAGAGCAACGCCCACGGATCTGGTTGGGAAAGCAAAAGTGTCGCGCCGCCGTTGGAGCCCGTCTCCGAAAGCCGGAGGCATCCAGATCAAATGGTGATCAGCACAGCACAGACCTCAGAGCCAAATTTCCAGCGTTAAGCTCTGCTCTGACATCATTTCCACTCGTTGGGCGAGAGAAGCATTCCGAGGCTAAATTTGGCAGCCAATTGAAGCGAATGATTTATTTCAATTTCACTCTCTCACCCAAAAAAGAATCTATCTATATATATATATAGCCTGAGAGCCAGAGAGAGTCTAAATCAACTTTCTGCATCAGAAACCTAAAGTTTTTGTTCTGTTTCTTTAAAATTGAGACCCTTTCTTTCAATTAACTTATAGAAGCTGAGTCAAGTTCAAAATATATATCTATGATAGATTAAACTGGAAATGTATCTGCAAATTAGACAATTTGCCGAATATTTATGCAGACATTAAAAATATTTACTCATCATTCTCAGTGGGCCGAGGCTTGCAACACATATCCTTTGTAGGGAGAAAGGCTTCGAAATAAAAAATATTTCAAAAGAGTTCGTAAGTTCCTAAACAGAATGAGTTGAGTCTAGAAGATGTCTAGCTTTTCTTTTCCATATTTAATTTCTTCTAGCTTCTCCATCCATCAAAATGTATTTGATATTATCTTTGTATTATATGAGCTTGATCCCGACGTATTATTATTTTGTCTGTATTAATTAAGTTTGATATTCTATATTATTTTGGTTATAATATTCCTTGAGAATAACTCTAAACTGTTAACAAGCATCTAAAGTAATATTAAATTTATGTGTGTTTTTTTTTCGGGGTTTCTCTGTTTGTTTTTAAGTTTTTCTCGATTTAACCAAGATTTGAGCTAGCACCCGAGAATAAGGTGCTTTCTGTATGGACTTAATAGCTCGTATCGCATTTCACACAAAATATGTTTTATTCACAATTTTTGTATCTCAGGGTCAACGACCGGCGTTAGGTGATCTTTTAATATTTGCAACAATCAGGCTCACCACCCACTCCGTGCCACGCCCCCTCACGCGCCGGCACGCCCCGCGCCGGGGGCACTTCAAATGGCAATTACTTATACGCAATGTTGCCCGAAAGCAGCAATTTGTATGGCTAAACATAGCGCCTCGTTGATTGACAGCATTGATTGATGGCCTCTGGGCAATACACCTCACACACACATATACGCACACAAAGCGATACAAGGAGAGAGAGAGTGTGCGACTAGTATGAATCATGTGTGCAATATTTTAATTATCGCATTTGAATAAGCAAACTACAAAATACAAATTCAACAAAAATTGAAATAAATTGTTTTGACTTACTGCGGTTTGTTGGCTTTTCAAGGGAAAAACTGTGCCGGCTAAATTGTTGTTTACGCTTGTTATTAATTATTCTCATTCTCATTCTTGTTGTTGTTGTTGTTGCTTCTGCTGCTCATTTGGCAACTGGGGCGGCAGTGTGATTGCAGCAATTAACTGATAAGAACTCAAAATCCAATCAGAGCACACGTCAAGCAGGTGCACTTAGCGCAAAAGTCAGCAGAGAAACATGATTCAATCCGAACTCAGATGCTAAAAATGAAAATACAAATGCCCAACTTTCAATTAAATCTATTAAGATTACGATTAGAATTACTTGTAATTGGACTTATTAGGCTATAATACTATGTACTATCTATTTGGCGCAATTTACCTAACCTTAAATCAAATTGAAAAACTGCAAATTATTTTTTAATTTGAACCTAACCTTAAATTAAATCTAACCTCAAATAAACTATGATTTTTCGAACCATTTTGGTTCAAACTAACAAGCTTTTGAGAGAGATCCCAGCACCCAACTTTGGTTTAAAATTTAGCAAATTTAGCCCGCATCTTCTAAACGAAAATATCTAAAGCAAACCGAAAATTGTATTAATTCATTCAAGTTTTAAGGCCAATTACAAGTCATCTTTTAAGCCAAGTCCCCAATTCAAGAACCTACAAGAAACGAGCTAGTTCAAAACGTGAACGGAACAAAACCAGCGAAAACTTTTTTGGATGGTTAGCAAGTTACTAACGAAAATATTTACACTATGTTTACAATTTTGACAAAACAAAAACAGAACTAGTAAGACCTGCATGCTTGAAAACGAAATACCCTAGTGGAAATATGGCTTACAGGCTTGCACATTCATGTGAGGATTCGAAGTTCATACAAGAACTTTACTTTCGAGCGATCATTTCTATCGCAGCCATATGATAGATATATACATCATATATGTATCTAAAAGCTATTAGGGTATTTAATGTTCGTGGAACTGAAGTCGTCTGTTTTTGTGCTTCTTCATTTTTGTTTGTTTGGGCGTTAAATTTTTCATGAAATTGTGCGCTGTTTTTTGTTTGTTTGTTGCTTGCCTTTGTTGTTGTTGTTGTTGTTGTTGTTGTATTTATTACTGTTTTCTTTTATGGTAGGGCCATTCAAGCAAACTTATTTCGAGTGTGTCGAGTGGCGCTCTCCCTCTCTCTCTCTCTCCCCCTTTCTCTCTCGCTCTCTCGAGCGTTGATTTGTATTCATTTGCTTAATTCAATTCTAACTCTAGCGATGATCTAAGTGAGACGTCGTCGTCTTCGTTGTTGTTGTTGTTCTTCTTCTTGTTCTTGTTCTTGTTGTTATGCTTCTTTTTGTTTTGTTCTTTTTGTTGTTGCTACATCTGGCGCAAACTTTAAATAAGCAAGTAAAACAAAAACAAGAACAGCAACAGCAACAGGCAGCTAGTCAGGCAGCAAAGTGCCCGCAATTGCTAGCCGAAAAATTAATGTGCGTTTAATTCGGGCAAATTAAAATTGGACGTCGACGTCGTCGCTGCCAAGCGCAGCAGTGCGCGCGCGCACACACACACACACGCAAATAGAACAGCAATTGCCAATGCGCTGGCTGCAGGCCCCCGCGCGTGCCAGTATGCCCCTCGCGTTCCCAAGCGCAAGTGCATCGTGTAAATTGGTGAAATTTACGACCTGCTGCCATTTTTCATTTTTATGAGCAACGATTTTCATTTAATGCGCCTGCCTGTTCGCCATTTACCGTTTAGCTTCTACCGTTTATCCGTTACCGTTTACCGTTTACCGTTTGCCTTGTGGTGACGTCGCCTTGCTGTTTATATTTGTTGTCTTATTTTCTTCTTCCCACAGTTATCAGCGACAATCGGTTGACGCCTTAAGCGACAGCTCAGAATGGTTTGCGACTCGGCTAAGAAACCTCGCTGCCATTGCCACTTGCCCATCCACGACGCGCCACGCGTGGGTGGCCCATACAGCATATGGCAGCGGTCTAACAGCCAGGTGGCCAGTATGGTCAGCCATGGACACCTGAGCAAATGTGCGATACGTGTCATCAAATCAATGAATAACCGCAGATAGCGTACATTTGAAATGTTTGGGCTTATGGACAATTATGAATTGTAAATGCCGCTCGGGGGCAGTTTATCTAATTGCCATGGCCATCGCCTATGGCATAATTGCTTTCGAAATTTTACAGTCGGAAAATTCTCAATAGTTTCGGATTATGTGCTTTCAAACGGGGCTGCAAGACAAATTGTCTGCGGTTCGGTTCTTGTTGCGAACCAGCTCCATGCTTTTGGGTTCGATTTGTGAACCTTGAACTTTTTCCTAGATATCCCGGATATCCCGGAAATTTAGTTTATTTTTGATTATTATAAGGCTTAGATCGGGATGCGGTTCGGTATTTAATTGGTTGGGGCAAAGGTTCGGTGTGTACAGTAAATAATAAATTGCAATTCCGGAATCGAACTGGTTTTGTGGCATACTTTTTACCATTCTGGACAAGCGCTTAAGTCTACTTGCAAACAACCTGTTGTCAGGGAGAACAAATATCTTTAGTATTACGCAGAAACCGAGTGTAAAGTTCAAGGTGAATAAACTTTGCAAGCGGTTTAGCCGAAACTCTTAATTGGATCGTTTGTCATTTAGACTTTTAAGACTCAACTTACGATTATTTAATTCCAGTTTGCATTAGCCACAAAATTAAATGTGGCAGTAAATCAAATGGTTTCAGGTTTCATCTCTAGAAAACACAAGTTTTAGATACAAATGTTAGCCATTGGAATTTATAGGAAAGTGAACAACATTTGTCAGCAGAATTGATTGGAAAGTGAACATCATTTATGCGATGACAACAGCGCTATCGGGAATTCCAAACTGTTCTGAATTCTATTTAGAATTGGTGACACAGATTTCACTTTGGTACTTAGCGAATCTTTTCTGAAATATAATTAAGTTTCTTCAGTTGAATTTTCATTAAATCGAAAAATAAAATAGATCAAAACTCCAATAAGATCTTGATTTGCAGGCATGCTAAACAAAAGCCTTTAGATCATATCTTACAATCGTATTAACAAACCTATTCCTAAACTAAACCCAAATACTGTACATTCCTTTTTTTGTAAATGAATTTCTTATTGTGTTCCGAATTCCACTTTTGACACACTTTCACATAAATACTTATAGCATACTCCTTGGAGCCGACTCAAATTATAGAGCTTCAGTTGTAAAAATCAACTCACAATTGTTTTGATTGCTTTAAACGTAAAATATAAAATAACATATGGGCTTGTAAGACCTGATTACTTTTTGATGAAAATAGGGAATAAATAGTCAGATTTGTTAAATGTAGGAAACGATTAGATTTCGCTAGATTGCGTTTAATTGGGGAACTGCTCGAGACAGCCGTCTGAACGGAGACTCATTACTATATAATATGTAATCAAAATGATTTAACGCTGATGCTCATCATTTTATTATTATTATTAAAAAAGCACACATCATATTATTGTTCTTCTCCGTTCTGCGGTCGGGGGCTCTGAAGTTTTTTCTCTTTATTTTCATTGAATTACGCAAATCGCAGCTGTTGTGCGGTTTATGAACTCAAGGCACAATTTGAACGCCCCTTTGGACGGTACGGAGCTATGCATTATATACATATATATATATTCATGTACTCATTCATTCGCACCATTTAGTCACCCATTCCAGTCACTTTGTTGTGAACTGGATATATCGAATTATGAAATATTTGAACGCATTGCCGACGTGATTTTCATTCTAATTGAGCGCGATTCTTTTGTTATCTCGCGCAGTCGGAGCCGGCATCGATCTGTCACAAGTGCAATGAGGTCATACAGCAGCGCATCATTACGGCACTGGGCAAAACCTGGCATCCGGAGCACTTTGCCTGCAAGGACTGCCAGCGTCCCATCACCGAGGCAACATTCAACATACAGAGCGGGGAGCCGGTCTGCTCCGATTGCTTTGTGAGCAACTACTCGGGCACCTGTTTCGGCTGCAAGCAACCCATCTTGGAGGTAAGTACTCAGCCCCACCCTTTACCGATTCACATTTTCCTGATAAAAAGTTGCCCAATCTCAGCAGCAGTCCATGTTCCTATTCATAGCGATAAGATCAGGGATTTCTCAGTTCTAGTACCAGACACCATCCCAAGCCCAGTTTCGCCTTTCTTAGTCTCAGTCCCTATCCGAAGCATAGACATATCATCAAGAGTTTCTCAGACCCAGTCCCTATCCGAGTGATGGATCAATGCTTTCCCAATCCCAGTCACAGACACAAGATCAAGTCTAGAGCACTCTCAATCCCAGTGCCTACTTGACTCATAGCCATAACATCTGGAGTTTCTAGTCTGTCTCAGTCCCCGTTCCCGTCCCAGCCCTAGTCGTAGACTAAAGCTCAAAAGTTTTTTAGTCTCAGCAGTCGTCCAAATCGTTGACATAAGATCCACATTGATGACATCGTCGCAGCCGTCTGTTTGCCATAAACTTTGGCGCTTTATGAGCGTTGGCGGGCGGCAATTGTAATTAATATTGTCATCATTTATTCGTATAGTCTATAAAGATTGTAATGCATAGGAAACTTGATTATATTTAACCTGTACACACATTCAGATGCGCGTAGTGTATTTAATGATCATTTTGTCGGCAAAGGTGAATTGCATATAGTATGTGATATCTATTTATAGGACTATTATACGGGCGGAAAAGCTAGTTTATCCAGCTCTTGAGATGCTGCATCGATGACAATATAATCACTTAGATGATAATACATATATATATATATCTATTTAAATATGATTTAATTAGATATGATTTTATTTTTGTACAGTATGCGGTAATTTCATTTTAAACAATTTGCCTAATAATACGAATCTATATACTACAATATTCCTGTATTGTAAATATACTTTTCCCTGATCTTGATCGTCCACAAAGAAGAATCAATCTCACAACTAAGACTAAGGTAATATAAGGATTTTCTTTGGATTAAGTCAACGTTAACGTTGACATAAGTAAAAGTAAACATGTTTAAATAGGTTTATAACCAGAATTAATTGACAAGAACGAATCTGTTCATTAACGAACTACAATTCATTTTAAATGAATACCTGCTGTGAGAATTGCATAGAAAGGGATTTAGACGTGCAACACTCTGGCAACACTACTATTTTTTATTCCACTGCAACCCTTCGTATTGTTTGCCATCTGCTTCATATGCCAGGCTGTTGTGAGAATTGCATAGAAAGAGCATGAAAACTCTGGCAACACTACAGTTTTTTGTTTCCAATGCAACCTTGTGTATTATTTGCCAGTTTCTTTGAACGAAAAGCTGTTGTGAGAATTGCATAGAAAGAGCATTCGAGCTTCGACATTGCCTGCTAAAGAAAAGTTCGTTCTGCCCCCTTATCTCCAGTTGTGTTTACATCAATGTCACAAGGTCGCGAGAATTGCGCTGGGTGTGTGCGATTGATTGGCTTTGATTGAGATTATGTTTATATATGCACATATGCAGCTGATTGGAATCGCCAGTGTATTTATTGTACCTAGATTAAATTTAAAATATTTGACTGAGAATACATGGCTCTCTCGTTACCAGCGCACCATCAAGGCCATGGAGCAGTCGTGGCACGAGGAGTGCTTTGTATGCGCCGGTCCATGCAAGAAGCCGCTGGTGGGCACCTCATTCTACGAGCGGGACGGTCGACCCTACTGTCGCATCGACTTTGAGCAGCTGTTCGCGGCCCGCTGTGCCGGCTGCACTCTGCCCATAACGGAGAATGCCATTGTGGCGCTCAACGCCAAGTGGCATCGGGATTGCTTCAAGTGCAAGGTGGGTGCAAGGCTGCAACTCGAATTTGAACCGCGCGCCGATTCAAACCAGGGATTGCAGTCCCGTATATATACTTTACTTTATCTAATGATGGTTTCTTATTTTGCTTGCAGAAGTGCCTGACGCCCATTACGGCCAGCACGTTCGCAGTGGAGGATAATAAGCCGATGTGCACGGCCTGTTCGGAGTAGGCTGGAAGGCCCGGGCACCCCTCTGCACAGTCAGACGGACGACCGGACGGACGCACGCACAACATGTATATTATAGATGTTTATGGTATTTGTAGTATTCGCAGTTGTTGAACAAAGCTATAACGTAACACAACTAGAATTTAAACAAAATATTCGAAAGGCAACGTTCGAATCCAAGTTAACAAAAAGGAAAAAGAGTTCCGACTACTCCACAATAAACACACGCACACACACATACACACACACACTCGCCACTTGGAGAGTTCCGCCTCCTACTTAACCTTTAGCTGCATTCGGATGTACTAAAATATATAGATATTTTTTATTTTTATTATTATTTTTTTTTATATATGAAATGCATTTTACACGAAAGTTGCATTTAGAACAGAGCTGCCAGAGCTGGCGCGAGAAGTGTGGCCGGGGGTATGGGGTAGGGGATGCGGGCGGATGGGTGGGCGTGAGTGTCAACGTATATTTATATATATATATATGAAAAAGATTTAACTATATAATTGTGTTTACATAGTTGTTATATATGCTACACCTAACTCGCATACACTTTGTCGCCTGCAACACTATCTCTCTCGCTCTCTCTCTATCTCTATTACTATCTCTTTTATCTCACATGTTATCTCTTTCTAAATTGTATTGTTATTCTGAAGCTATACAAATATATGACAATTAATCTTGATCTGCAGCACTTTTATTTCAAAAAGGAACATGTCATCATTCTCCCTCCCTCTCTCTCACTAGACATATGTATATTGCTATCTCTATTTATGATATATGGCGATGCCAAGTGCTACACAAAGTTTATATCATGTATTTGAAGATAAGAAAAAACGGCTACGAAATACCCTAGTCATACGTCTGGCTATGAAATTATTTGATAGTAGTTCGATTTAATACGATTTTGCGTCCTGATGTCGGAATAATCTGAAATGATTTTCGTCGACTTATTCTTCCCATAGAGCTATATGATATAGTTGCCCGATTTGGACAAGATTTGCCTGGTGTGTAAGGAGCAATAAAAAGCGCTAAAGTCCCGAGTTTGGTCAACAAATCTTGAGCATTTCTCATTATAATGGCCGCCATATGATAGTGTTCCGATCCGGCCAATAAGACCAATAATCACGATAGTAATTTTAAAACTAAGAGACACGGCTCGTCTGCTTACTGATCAAGAATGTATAACATGGGGTCGGACGCATTTCCTTCTATTGCATCGGTTACAAATTCTGTGATTTGATTATAATCTTGAAAGTGATCCGGTATCAGCACTGGAGCTTACCCCTTATCATAAGGGGCGTGGGGGAATGAGGTTTTATAACGATCAAATCGATGCATTTTATTTATCCCACAAATTATTAGAACACTCCACATACGTGTGTATATGCATTAGAATAAGTTACTTAACAATTTTGATGGCCGAAAAGAAATGTAAGAAAATTCCTCAGATTGTTTCATTTGGTTCCTGCCAGCGTCTATTCCTCAAGGGGCTTCATCTGTGAACTGTGCATCCACATGTAGAGCAGAGGCACGAGGTGGATTGTTCAATTTCAATTTCAGTTTTAATTTCAATTAGATAGTTACCTTTTGTGTAACATGGCGCCCAGAGAGCGCACAAGGGGATCGAGAACCTCGCGCACTTGCGACTTCGTCACATGCTCCATGGCCTCCAGGAGCTGTTGGTGCAGCTCCCGCTTCTCCCGTCCGGGTTGCTGCAGCAGCGCCAATATGTTGGTCAGCTGATGCTTTTGGCCTTCGCTGGGCTCCTCGTCGAGCTCGCTGGATGGCTCGCCGCGATAGTCGCCGCACTGGACGCACTCGATGTGGGTGGGCACATCCTCGGTGGGCTGCTCCGGCTGTATTTCGGCTGGCTGGCCGAGTATGACACCTGGCACGGGCTGGGCACTGCTGTTGGGATCCGGCAGCAGCTTGGGTTTGCGCAACCACGAGCGCGGGCGACGCTTCTCGATGCGCTCCTTGGGCACTAGGCGCGGCTCATACAGCTTCAGATCGTTGAGGAACATCTTGAGATCGTAACGCTCGTGCATGCCCGGCCGTGCCTGGCCATGCCCATGCCCATTGCCATGGACGCGCCTCTGCAGGCGCCGATAGGTCTCGCGCGCCAGCTGAAAGCGTTGCTCCTGCATGTCCTCAATGAACGTTAGGAAGCTGGTGCAGCGTTGCTGCAGGCACTCCACCACAGGATCCTGACGATCCAGCACGCCCTTCTCCAGGCACACGTTCGTCAACGTGTACATCATCTCGATGAGGGCACTCAGCTTTTGCGGCACCTTGTCCAGGAGGAAGTAGCGCACCTGACGCTGGTAACGGCCAATCGAGTGATACATCAGCCCGTAGACGCAGACCACCCGCTGACTGGCCTCGTTCGAGGTGCTGCTGTTGAAGTTGGCCACCGGCGTGCAGCGCACATCTTCGATCATGCCGCGCAGCGGATACAGAAAGTTGCGCGAGAATCTCACACAGAAATTGAACGCGTTCCGTTCGCGTCGCTGTTTCTCCTGGCTGCTGTTGCTGATCAACGGCAGCTGCAGCAGGCTGCCCTGGAGGCGGTCCAGTGCCGATATGATGCGCTCCTGAGTCAATGAGATCTTGTTGTAAATGGACATCTTCTGGTATTTCAGATTCTCCAGCGACCTCGTGCAGACCACGGGCCGTGCCTTGCGACGTGGCGTCGCATTTTTCGCCGGCGGCGCCTGCACTGCTATCGCAGCCATTGCCGTGGAGAGCTCTGCCTGCGGCTGTGGCTGCGGCGACGGTATTGCGACAACTGCCTGCTGCTGTTCCTTATCCCGTCCGCCGGGCTGGCGGCCCAGCGTCTGCGCTTTGGCTGCAGCCGGTGATTCCTGCAACAGCTTCCGCTTTGGCTGCCTGCTGCTGCCGCTGCCACCGCCGCCGCCGCCGCGCACCGCCTGCGCCATTTGCGTCGCCTTTGGTGTTCGGAACTTTGTATTGGCCGGTGTCACCGGATCCGGCGACTGCCTGTGTCCATATCGCCTGGCGGATGACTGCGGTGGCGGCTGCTGCTGCTGTTGCCGGGCTGCTGAGGGCCGACCAGTGGATGAGCCGTGGACTGCATGATTGATGGTGCCAGTGGCTCTGTCAGTAGCAGCAGTAGCGGTTGACTGTTCCTCGGACCTACAATAGGTGAGCTGTTCCTGTTCCTGTTCCTGTTGCTGTTCCTCCTGTTCGCACAGCGTGCAGGTGTCCGTCTCGGAGCGTTGGGATGTGTAGTGCATTGGTTTCAGGCTTCGCTGAAAGCTGATCCAGTGTGGATGCGGCTCCAGTTCCACGAAGCAGGCCTTCTGTGGACCGCCATTTTCAGCCATATCCGGCTCACTGAGGTTGTAAGGCAGACGCTCAATGTAGCGCATGTAACCGGGACGATCGGCATACTCCTGCTCCAGATCGCTGTCCTCCACAAAGTAGGGATCCAGGGGCTCCGGCTCGACGGGCACATGCTGCTCCATAAACATGCATCCGGCCGATTGGCGCACAGTCAGTGGCTCGTACATATTCACGTCCACCGCCTGCGGCATCATCGGCGAGGATATTATATCCGCCCACTGACCCTCCGGCTGTGGGTAATCCTCGTAGGATACTTGTTTCATTATCATCGGCTCATCCTCATTGAGTTTCTGCTTCAGGCGCTGCAGTATCACGTCTGGCTCCGAGTGTACTGGTGCGCTCTCCGGATTCATTAATGGCTTCCGGCGCTGCTCGGCCTTCTTGATCGGCGCCTGCTGCGGCTGATTGGCGACGGCCTGGGACTTGACGGGCTGCTTCTGGACGCGTTGCTGCTTTAACTTGCGCCTGGGCGACGCGACCCGCAGCTCCGACTGCGTCTGTCCCATAGATTTCAGTTCAGCGCACACCTCCCGATGCAGTCCCTCGATCCGCGCTGTATAGTGATCCGCATCCGATAGCTTCTGCTTGGCAGCGCCACGTTTCACCTTACGGTTGCGCAACTTTTTGCTCCGGTTCGCAGCACGGGGAGCGATCGTATCGGCGCCGCCGACCAAACGATGCACGCCATGCTGTACATCGTTCTCCTGGTCGTCATTGCTGCAGCTGCTTTGACTTTGGTTCCTGCTGCGGCAGCTGCTGCTGCGACTGTTCCCGCCGCTGCTTTGCTGCAGATCCAGCAGCTGCTGTTTGGCCCGCAGCGACATCTGCGTTTCCACGTCCAGGTCCCGCGATGTAACCATACCGAGCACGTCGCGACCCGTGTTGCGCATCTTGCAGAAGCGCGGCTTGCTCAGCTTGTGCATCTCCTTCTCCTTTCGGTTCTCGTCTCGCTCCGCGGCGCGCTGCAGGTTGTACCGCTTGACGGCATTCTTGATCGAGTCCGGGTTGGTAAACTGTCGCGCGATACGGAGGCGGGTATAACCAAAATGCCACGCCCATTTGCGAAAAACCTACACCGTACTTACCTGAAACTCGTGTGCAAACGATTGTCCATAGAGATCATGGAGTTTCATCATATTTGTGATTATTGATTGTGTGTCGGTGGGATAAAAGAATTGATTAGGAAGCCTTAGAGTTATAGATTTTGCGGTGGGGAAGGGAGGGGAAAGAGTATAACCAGATGAAATTTTGTTGTATGTACGCTTCCAAAAATTTAAAATTAATGCTTGTTTATTCTGCTCGACTCGTACGCCTTATCAAAGCTGTCTGTCGCCCTGACAGACCCTGCTCGATCCAACTCCAACTCCAGCAGCCCTTGAAACTGGCTATATACATATACATACATACATACAAATATTATATACATATACACACATATATATAGAAAATATATCGATGTGCATGCCAAAATAAAACGTGCCAAGGCTCCGCAATTTACGTTTAACAAACAACCGCAACAGAAATTTACACAGTTCAAAGAAATTTTGTCCGTTTCAATTTAAAGTCGAAACAAGACCAGTGTTGCATAACAAACAATTTTTTGAGTACTCAAGCATCGATCTTTTAAAGGGAAGTGAGTATAATCAAACGAGGTTTGTTATGAATATAAGAGACTTTATATTTTTATTATATTTGATATATTGCATAGGGATATATAGAGCTATAGGCCATTAGTATGGCTATCAGTCTTGGGAATAATCTGTCGACCGTTAAGTTCTTGTTTGAAAAGCTTGCTTATCTTGCAAGATACATACATATGTATATTCACTTGCCTCGGCATTTACGAGATTTTAGGTGTATCTTGTATGTGAGCAAGTCGGAGAAAAATATCGCATACTTCTCTGGAAAAAATCGGCCCAAAATTGAGGTTAGGGCAGCAGTGAAAACAGGATTTAGCTGAGCAGCCGGCTAAAAATCCACCGAACACTTTGTATAATGTGGATGGATATACATAAGTATGTACATATAAATATTAAGTTTTACGTCCGAATAGGAAGAAGTAAAAATATAAAGAACATACCCTGCTTTCTCACATTTATAAGCTTACAATTGAACCAGATCGATGTGATTCAGCTGAAAAATGAACTAGCTCCGACATCAGAATCGACTACGCTTGGCATATTCCTTCAAATGTTTGTAGTACCAATATAAAATATATGTTTTGAAAATGTAAAAAAAAAGTTCAAACTCACGACAGCGAAATACTTCAGGAAACCAAACCGATTGATCCAACACAACCACAAAAATACACACATCTCCAATAGTTAACCATGGTTCACCCCAGTGCAAAGGTGAGTTCCAGAACCCGCCAACTCAATTCAATTGCCAAATCAAGATTTACAAAGAACTTTGCTCTCGCAAGGGCCGGCTGCGTTCCGTGGGCCTCGTGACGGCAGGGGTCGTGGCCTTATACATGGGCCTCAGCGTATACGAGAACCAGGAAGGCCTGTTCCGGACATTTGTGCTGCCGGCAGTCCGTTGGCTGCCCGCCGAGACGGGCAACAATTTGGCCCTGATGGCGTGCAAGTATCGCCTTTATCCAGTGTCCGGCTACAGGGACAACATTAACTTGAAGACCTCGTTTTTTGGCCGGCCCATAAGCAATCCCATTGGCATCGCGGCCGGCTTCGATAAGAACGGCGAGGCCGTGCAGGGGCTAAAGGATTTGGGTTTCGGTTTCATTGAGATTGGCAGCGTTACGCCCCAGGCCCAGGCGGGCAACCCCAAGCCGCGCATCTTTCGCTTGCACAACGATCGGGCGATCATCAACCGGAAGGGCGTCGATAGCGATGGCCACGAGGCGGTGGTGAGGCGGCTGCGGCACTTGCGAGCCACCAATGCTATCGATGTTGTCGTGGGCGTTAATCTGGAACGCAATCGCACCTCCAAGACACCTGTCATGGACTACATGGCAGGTGTGAAGGCCTTTGCCCCCTGGGCCGACTATCTGGTTGTCAACTACGACCATTTGAAGGGCATGCGGAGCGTGAACAACAAAACGAAGCTCATCGAGCTTCTGGAGGGTGTCAACAAAGCGCGAGCCCAGCTGGGCGACAAGGTGAATGTGCCCATTCTGTTGAAGCTATCGCCAGATCTGACACTGGACGAAATGCGGGACGTGGCCGCCGTCATTAAAACGTATGCATGCCGTGTGGATGGCCTAATTGTGTCCAATGCAACAATGTATCGGGGCAATCTCAGAGTCTCCAGGCTGGCCACAGAGAACGGCGGCATAAGTGGGGAACCGCTGCGGGAGCGCTCCACGAGGCTGATTGCCCAGATGTACGAGCTAACCAATGGCTGCGTGCCCATCATTGGCGTGGGCGGTGTCTCATCCGGCCGGGATGCATACGAGAAGATCGCGGCCGGTGCATCGTATGTGCAAATCTATACGGCTTTTGTGTACGAGGGCCCTGATTTAGTGGACCGCGTTAAGGCGGATCTTTCCGCATGGCTAACCAAGTTGGGCTATGAGAATATTGACGAAGCAGTAGGTTCCAATTATCAACGATATCTGCCCAGCACTGATTAATTCCAAATAAATTAAATTTTGTGTTTTTAAATACATTGTCCACTAGAACTGAGGGCAAGATTTGCTAAAGACTGGTTTTCGGGTGAGCTTTCCGGGCCGTTGGCAACGGTCCAATTTTGAAATGGATTAACATTTGTACACTCCTCACTGACAGTGCTATGTTATTAACATGCGCTCCACGCTTAATAGTTTGCTGCCCATTTTGCTGTCAAATAATATGCATCGATATTTCTGTTGTGCAGCTTAACAGTACAAGTATTCGCATACATATCCGTCAACGAGCTAACATAAAATTCAGTATTTGTTCGGTATTTACAATAGAATTTCGCCTAGCATCCACTTGGGTATTTGCATGATAGCACGCATGCGGTCACACTGTGTATTTTGTTGCACTGCAGCCTCTTTTTAATGTTTTAGTCCAATATTTATGTAAAACAAAACGAGAAGTGCGTAGCACATAAATGTGCATAAGGCAGTTAAATAAATAATCAAGTTGAGTGCGCCAAGCCAATAGCAAGACCGTCGTGCTGGAACACATCGACCCACTGGCAGGTTCATTAGTCCGTGTACCATTGTCTGTCATTGTGCAGCGATGAAACAACAAAAACAAAAACGTGCTTACAACGCATTTTACGAATTTCTATTGCAGATTGACGAAATCCAACAAAATATTTGAAATACACAGAAAAAGCAATGGACGTCGAGGAAAACTACGAGTCACAAAGCACAACAGAGACGCCGCCGCAGCAGGGACCGCAGCCGCAGATGCAGATGCAGATGCAGATGCAGCAGCTGCCGCAACAGCAGCTTCCACAGCAGCAACAGCAAATGCAACTGCTGCAAGATATGCAATGCGAGCCGCTGTTTGGCATTACCACAAATACAACAACAACCACAAATCCAATGATGGACACTGGCAACGTTGCAATACCGTTGCCAGCGCCGCCTGGGACGGGCCTAGTTCTGTCCGGACCAGTGCCAGCTGTCTCCTCAGCGTTACCAACACCCGCACAAGCAGCGCAGATCAAGGGTCTCGGCGCGGCTCTTCCCACAAATGACTATGATATTGACTCTCTGCTGCTGCAGCAATTCAGTTGCATGGGCACCACAGACCACGAGGATCTGATAAGTCAGTTCCAGAGCCTCATGAATAATCAAATGAATCGCGAGTCGGCTCGTTTTTATTTGGAAATGAGCAACTGGTAAGTGGTCCGTCCAGCTGTTCATATGCATTTATACCTTACACATATATACATTATATGTATTTAATATGATTAGGAATTTGCAAACTGCCGTCGGTTGCTATCTGGACTTTTGTAGCCTGCAGTCGTTGCCTTCAATGAAGATTGTGCAGGGCCAGCACGTGAATGCCCAGCAGCAGGCATTCCAGCTGCAGAACGATGGCAACGAACGCTGGCCGAATGGCTGCTATTTAACATCGCCAATACAGACGCAACGCATCAATGTGCCGTCCTTGCGTCCGGGCGAAACTTGTGATATATTGGCTGATCTGATGCCCACACAGCCGGCAATTATGTGGCGCCTGTGTACACCCAACGGTTGGTACTTTGGCGGTGAGTGGAGGGCTTAGCTGTTTAGGCCGCAACTGAACGATCAGATTTTTAAAAATGTGCTCTTCTCCCTCTCTCTCTCTCTATCTGTGTATGTTTTGCTAGATGCCATATGGATGATACCGCCCGGCACACAGGCCAGCCAGGATGAGCTACAGCAACGCATGGTGCAGCTGATCACCTCGGACGCGAAACCGGAGGTTTATCCACAGATCAAAATAGTGATAACTGCGCATACACAATGAGAAAGCGCCCACATTTTCATTTAAATGTTCGCGTTGCGCTGCATTTCATTACGAATTGCACATCGTTATTTCAAATTTGAAACTATTTATACTGATTTTGGCTAGCTTCAATTCGGCCTTTGATTCGAATCCAAAACATCCAAAAGAAACAAAACACAAAACTGTATTTTTTTATCGACGCATTTGTAATTCGATTAGCAAACCGAAAATTTCCCGTCGTAAATTTTTCCAGAATTTGTATGCGCGAAATGGTTCTATGTTTAAGCGACATGGTTTTTTTTTTTTGCCCCCCTCCTTTTGTCAAACCAATCCTGTAACAAATGTAGATTTAAGTGTTTTATTGAGCGAAAGAAAGAGAAACGAAGAAGAACATGTTTTTTATTATTTGTACGTTTAGGCTGTACTTATAAGCATCTGACAGTTGCCCCAAACTGTTCCGCAAACAAATATTATTTTATAACTGGGACAATCTTTAGCCCTAACGCTAGTTTAATATTTACTCGTCCGGTTCAAATTTGTTACGATCTCTTAATACAAAATGTCAAATTGTTTTGGTTGGCTATTGAAGTGGATATGAAAAACTTGTACTTGTAAAATCAACGTATATAATAAGCATCAGGCAGCAGCGCCTAGTCCATTAAATATATATATATTCCTGATCAGGAGGACAAGCTGAGTCGAGTTCCTTGCCGATTTGCGAAGCCCCTCCTTGTTATTAAGCCATCGATTCCGTCTTCCCTTTTAATACTCTTGTAGAGATTATAAGAAATGTGCAACGCACAGAAAGCGACATAGCCGAACCCAAAGAGCATATATATTCATGATCCCTGTCTTGTCTCTGTGTCGGTCTGTTGCGGCCAGAATATCTGATAGCTACCATAAACAAAATTGAGTTCGTGTATAAAACAATTTGTTATTTTTCAATGACCAGACATATAGGCAAAGTCCTATACACAACGGACTACTATATCATGTAGCACTATGGGAAGAGTCGCACGAAAATGAGTTTTGGCATGGAAAACTTTTCTGTTCTCCAGGATACCGCAGCCAATTCGGATCCGTATCAAAGAAGTCGCATATAAACATATTTCTACAAGGGTATTCAATCTTTGGCCTGCCGAAGATATTTCGAAAACCTGAAAGAGATACGGATACCCATTTTGGAATGTAGTTTCTCGCCTGCCATATAGTCTTCCCGTCCCCCGCTACCCAACGTATCGATGTTATCTTCCGTTCTCGTTGTTTTCAAAGGTAAAGTATGTTTAGACTTTGCATTTTAACGACTAGAAAGACATTTTTTTCTAATAAAATATACATATATATATATATCTATATATACGTATATGACCTGTGCCATATGCGGACTAGGTACATTTCAGATTACAATGCACCAAATAAATATCGCGTTCCAAAAACTTGTTCATTCTTTCATTTAATTGTGTTGCTTACGTGTTCTAGGGTATATCTTAGTGAGCAGCCTTCACTAAAGACCTGGAGTATATATATGCACATCAGATAATTTGTTAAGACTAAATGACTATGCTCACTGGGGGCGTGGCAAAACGGTGAATCTATAACTTGCCAAATTTGGAATAAAGGCTGTAGATTGACGAGCTGCTCCAAGGCGTGGCCTGTCGGGCAAGTCGATATGTGGCTTGTTTTATATGGATATTGACGGAGATTTCTGGATGCATTCTCACATGGCACATCCACTCGTTCCACGTGGCATGTGGCCACATTTCCGTGGAACTCCCATACAAATGAGAAGGTAACTATCATCTCGCTGCCCTTCTGTGTTGAAGCGGGCAATATGAATACTTGTTGTATGCATTTTAATTTGATCACGTTATGTAATCAGATTACAAGTACCGTTACTTATGTATGTTGACACCCGCCGCCCCCCACCACCCACGGCCCCGGCTCCTGCTCCACGCTCAATGCTCATTTTTGCATGAAAAATTATAATTGAGTCAAAAATGCAAAGCACACACACGCACGTACGTGTATGTGTGTGTGTGTGTGTGTCAGCTCGTGCGTCGGGCACGGAAATGAAATGCATTGAAACGGAAAAGAAATTATAATCCGTAGTCCTTCACAAAAGCAACAACAACAACAATAACAACAACAACGACGCAGCTCGCTTTTGACTTGAATTACAAATGGCGCCCATGCCACACGCGGGAGTCCTGTTGCTGGCAGAGATGGGAGGCGGTTGGGGGCGTGCCGCTGATGTCATAGACAATCAAATCAAAAGGCGTCAAAGCGTATGTCCTATATCATCATAATGCATGCCATCTCATTTTCACGCGCACGATAAGCAACCGACTGTATATGGAGGAATAGGACGACGACGACGACGACGACGATGGCGATGGCGATGGCGATGGCGACGCCATTTCCGTTTCCGCCCCCACCGCCCGCTTCAATGAAAACAAGCCTGCCAAACGTTTCATGTAATAACGTTGTAAAATTGCATTTGCCTATCCAACAAAAACAACATCAACAAACAAGAGCGCTCTAGTCGGGTTTAACCGACATGCAGATACCCGCATCCGGAGACGCATCCTTCTTCCTTCTTCCCTTAGCCACACACTCTGGGATATTCGTTGCGCGATCCTAATGAAATTTGTGGGGCATAAATATGGCAACCGAATGTGCGTAAATGCCACCGACCAGAGCTTTAACTCGAAAAACACCCGGAAAAACCGGTAGTATCCTAGAAAGTGCACCCTGTATACTATACGAAAGTCTAAATACTTAAATTCCTATATCCAGCTCCTAAACGCTTCGCGCAAAAACAAGTGTTGAATTCGATATGCATCGGTTTCACGAAAGTCGGGCAAGTTATTGAAAGTCCCTTGATCTACGCTGGCAATGGAAATAACGAGGTGCCAAATTTGAGGTACCTAGCTCGAAGATGGACACACGGAGAGACAATCAGACGGGCTGATCAAGACATACATTTGCACAGCACCAATATGCCCTTTATAGCCATTTTCAATGGGTATATTAACAACATTTCCATATTCATTCACGTTGTTGTTTCGGTTGCTTTAAAATTCAGATTATGATTTGATTTCCCAGCAACACAGCAGCAGCGGCAACAGTCGTCTTTGCCTCCACGTGCCCTCCCGTCATCAAGTTACTTAGTTTGTTTGGGGGCCTGGAGCCGGCTGCCTGGCACGGGCCTATTTGTTATTCATAGATTGGGAATTACAAGCAGCCATTGGCAATTGTCAGCATCTTTTACACTCGCACTCGCATTCGCACAGCGATAGGCACGTGTTGATGTCAACTTGTTACATGACCAACTGGGGTCGAATTAATTGTTTGTTTTGCTCGTCCTCGTGCCAGCCTTGCATCACTCGAGCGCAAAATGAGCAGGGTGGGCGGCTGGCTGAAGAATTGGCAATTGCATTGCTTGCTGGGCGTGGCCTATGCGACTGTATAACGCTTGCTTCTTAGCATAACTACTCATCCCGTTTCCATTTCCTCTTGATCATTTAAAAGACGATCGAACCGGACTTGAATATCTTCGAGTTGATCGCGAAAGGATTCAAATGATGCCAATTAATGTGTGAATTTTATAGGTACGTGTTCATTGAATGCTGCCTCTTAATGCTAACATTTTTTAGGCGTTACTTGAATTCATGAAAATCGCGTAGAAAGGCGATCTGCATAAGGGAAAGAGAGAGAGAGAGCGAGAGAGAGAGAGAGAGAGAGAGAGAGAGAGAGCGCGAGAGAGTGAGCGAGGGAGAGAAAGGTAGTGAAATATATGATATGATATTGCGTATGGCATGTGCTTCACTCTGTGGCTAATCTCTTGACATGATCCTAGTCGGGCCGCGGGCATGATCGTTCTGTTTGGTGGGCAAATGCCAGGCACTCCGGGGCACATTAAATGCTAAAAACAATGGCAGACAGTTTGACGCTGTTGGGCAGCAGTTGAGCAACTTGGCAACTTTGGCAACGTGGCAACGTGGCAACTTTGGCAAGTTGTAGTGCTGCAGTTGTCCAGCTGTCCAACTGTCCAGTTCGGTGGTCGATTTTTATGAGCGCCGTCGTTGACAGCTTAAAAGTCTTTTAGCATGAAAAATATTGTCGAGTGGAGGCTTTTGTTGTTGTTGTTGTTGTTGTTGCTGTTGTGGTTTCTGTTAAGCAAAAACTTTGACTTTTGATGTGTTCTGGCGATAAGATTTTGAGCGAGTGCTGCGATTTATGCCCCTGCCCCGTAGCAGCAGCAGCAGCAGCAACAGTTTGCGGCCAAAAGCGTTGCACTTTTAACTTATCTGTTGATGTGACAATCAACTCATTTTAGTGGGTGGCATGGCGGGTTGGAGTGTGTGTGCGTGTGTGTGTGTGTGTGTGTCCTCTTAGGATTGCTGGTGACTTCGCTGTTGCTGTTGTCGTTGTCATTTGGCCATAATTAGCACTGCTTGACGCGTTTTATGCGCATTTTAAGTGCAATTCTCGACTTCAAGCTGTAAATTAATTTCACAAATTGTGCAGCGAATGTGGCGATTGCGGCAATTTAGTGCGGCGATAAATATCAACTCGATTCATTCAATTTCTGTGCGCCCCTGCCTGCATGAGTGAGAGTAAGAGAGAGAGAGAGAGAGAGACGGAGAGAGCGAAAAAGAACGGTTATCTTTTTATGAGCCATCTTTTCTTTAACCTAATCTTCTTTGCATTTGTTGTTGCGCATTTGGCTTTGCGTTTATATTGTCGCCTTTTAAGCAAACATGATTTTGTACTTTAATTCTTTTTATGTCATATTTAAATTGTGTTAATTTAATTTTTATTTGTTGCATGTGACAATTGACACATTCATGGCGGCTTGAAGTGTGTGTGTGTGTGTGTGTGTCCTGTTAACATCGCTGCGTTCTTTTTGTTGTCGCTGCTCGACGCGCTTTACGAGTTGTAATTTTGGGCGAATTTTGGGCAATTGCGGCGAATTAGTGCGGCGATAAATACCAATTCGATTAAGTTCAATGCAGTTCGCCTTATCTGTGCGCTGCTGCATGAGTGAGAGCAAGAGAGCGAAACAGTTGTTATATATTAAGCATCTCTTCTTTAACCCGATCTTCATTTGCATTTGTTGTTGTCCGCTTGTATTTGCGTTTATATTGTCGCCTTTTAAACTAACATGATTTTGTACTTCTATTTTATGCCATATTTAAATTGATTTCATTTGATTTCTATTTGTTTCTTGTCTGTCATTCGATTCGATTCAGCTTTAATGCATCCCCATCTATCGTATCTATCGGCTTTTATATGTATGCATATGGCCACAGAGCGCGCAAAATTAGCATACAACTTGGTACATTTATCGCCTTCAACTCAGCGTCTGATACCGTTGTTGCTGTTGTTCCTGTTGTTGCTGTTGTTGCTGGTTTTGCTGTCATTGGTCACGGCCCATTTGGTTGATAGAGAAGAGGAGCGAACAAAGAGCCGAAGAGATGTGAACAACTTGTGTGTGTGTGGCTTTGGTTTTGTTATTGCTGTTAAGGTTTGTACGATTTTGTCTTTGGCTTTGTTGGCCGCTCTTTGTTTTGTCATCGTGATATATAACTAGCGATAAGACACAGCCAAATCGCCCCCAACGCACCCATAAATAAATTACAAAATGTGAAAAAATAAATATATAAGCAAACGTTTGGCCCATGGGCAGTGCTTGAATATTAATTTAGAGTCAATGTTAGTTAACATACGCTTATTGTCCATCTCTTAATTTAATACCAGTAAATAATTTGCAAATAATTTAAGTTTATATATAAAAGTATATTTAAATATTTACTTACCCAGAATTCACAAACAGGGATGAATTTGTTATTGCCATCGATTAGGAGGAGGGGATTGAATCTATACCATCCTAAAACAAAAGAGAGCGGGTTAG